GTAGCCCGTTTAAGGCTGAAACAGGACCAGTGAGCATTTCCATTTTTCAAAAGAGCCCAAATTTAAAGCGACTGTATTACGTTCAATTTCTAACAGAAAATGTTGGTTTTTTTCTCCTCCCCTCATTTTCATTGTTTTTTAATTAAGTCTCTGCTCTGAATTCGCTTGATCAGAGCTTGGAAATGGCAGCGGTTGGGCTTTAATTTCACAGTATTAGCCGCGTGGAACACTTTCATTTTTCCAAGTGTGTGATCAACAAGTACGCCGGCGATCGTGCACGTCCTCCCAGCACAGAATTAAAGAGGCCACAGTTTTCTGCTGTCATACGGTAATGTCAGGCCGTGGTGGATGATTGGATGAATTAGTGTTGTTTTCAGATCTTTTGGAGTGCATTTATCCATGCATCATCATTGGATAACCCCTTTAATGCCTTATGGATCCTATTTGATTTTTACCGTTCCTGAAATCGTTTGAATCTCAGACCTTTTGCATCACTTTCTGGTAAAAACTTTGCTCGAAACTCTGTTGTGCCTGTGGGAGAAGATTGCACTGAGATAAATTTGACTTTATCGCAAAGTAGTAGATGGTAAAAAGGTTTTCTTCATATTTTCTTAAAGGGCCAAACAGACTATTTTTTTCTTGGATCAGGCATTTAAAGGTTAATGTCTCAGTTGAATTATATTCTTTTATGTCCCTTTTACATCTGATAATAACAGCAATACTTCATGTTTGAGCCCACTTATATGGCAAATAATGAGTCTGTATTTATATTTGTAACAGAGTGGCCGTCAAGAGAAATTGGTTTAGAGGCCCTTAAATTCTGAGGGTTGAAGGATGGTGATGAATCAACAGTTTATTTCAGTTACAAAGTGAAATACAAAGCTTGATTAGTGTGCGGTCTGCTGTCAAAGAACGATTATGGATGCCGGCACGAAACATTTTCGCGATATTTTTGCCTGTCTAAACACGCCACAATATATCAGACAATAGTACCACCAGTGGGAATTGTTAACCTTTTTCTCATAACTTTGCAGGCGTTGACATTTATTCCATATCCTAGGTTGTTTGTTTTTTAAAAAGAACGGTGCACACTGGACGTCAGATTGACTGATGTAAAAAAAAAAGAAAGAAAAAAAGGCCTAACTGAAAAATTACAGACTCGCTGTTGCGCCTAAATGCACAACAGAACTCATTAGTCGTCACGGAAAGCTTTGCCAGCATTGTTTCCATGGAGACCCGTCCTGCAGGATGGAGCAGGAGTCTGACTGCGTGTCAGAATGTGCCCAGTCGGGCGATTCCGATCAAAGAGAGCCGCAAACTCCAGCCCGGCCGGTCAGAAACGCTGCGTTATTGGCAGGCGGCGAGAGTTATTTGTTCAGCAAGCACCTAACGGCTGGAAGGCCGTGTTGGGCTGACAGCAGTGATTAATTACTGCCCGTCGTCCTCCTTTTTTTTTGCTCCCGCGCGTCGCCCTGTGCTTTCCTCTCGCTCTGAGTTTTAGATCCGCGCTCGCAAAGACTAAAAAAATGACACTTGGCCGTCACCTGCCAGCACCGTGGCTCGGTTTTAGAGCGAAGCGACCGGGATTGTGATGTGACGTGTCTCTGTGTGGTCTCCAGCACCAGCGCAGATTTATGGGCCAAGTGTCAGCAAAGAGCCAAGGACATACCCTCAAAAGCGGGGGGGGGGGGCATTAGGGTGCACTTTTACCCCTCAGTTTAGGAAAATTTGAAGTCGGGTGATCAATTTTTGGCATATAGCTGGTAGAATTACAAAAGAGGAGAGCCCCGAGCAACAGAACTACCCACCAAGTTAATCTGAGGGGGAAAAAATCCATTCACAAGGCCTTCAATTAAGCCTCCAAGACTTTGCACAGAATAGCTGTAGGTGAGAGAAAAGCTCTGGTGTGAACTGAGAGCTGTACAGCATGTACTGGCAATCCATCAGAATGGAAATAAAGATTGTTATTAATGTCAGTCAAGAGTGTCTCATACAAATCGTTATGGTTTCATAAAGTTCAAATCTGGCTTTTTTTCCCCCCATTTTGTATTATCTGTCGCGCTCACTATCAGTTACTTGGAAGAAGGGGATTTGTAATGGAATCAATCCGTATACGTCTGTTTTCAGGGTGGATTTTTGCTGTATAAGTAGATAAGGTGCTAAACAACTGCAGGTGGAAAGGATTTGTGTTGAAAAGACAACGGCAGGCATACCCGAAGCATCTGACTAAATCTGAAGAACCGGTAGATAAAAATGGATCAAATGAAATCTTTGTAGCTTATTTATTTATTGTGCAAATCAGTCCCTTTTTACAACAGCTTCAGTCTTCCAGCATGACAATTACAGAACCCCCACCCACACACACACAGACACACAGGTCCTTGTTCATTCATTCACTCATCTTTATTCACACAGTGTGAATGAATGAGCTTCAGAAGGGTCCATGCAACATGGGGTCCACAGCCACCGAGCAGGTTCACCTGCAGCCTTCACAGCTGTAAGCTCAAACAAAAGAGGATCTTTCATTCAAAGGGTGCTTTGCTCCTGCACGCTGCAAACGGGAAAGCTGCAAATTAAAAAAAAATTACATTTAACTGACTGACCCCAGGGACTTCAGTGTTCCATGCCAATATCCCGAATATATCTAAATATGTGAACACGAGGAAATGAAGCAGGGGAAAAGTCGGATATCCTAAAGAATGAATTTAATAGTCTAAATATTGTTCAAGGCAAAGGACATTACTGACATAATGAATGTCCAGGTATCAATATTTCATCTTATTTCACATCCTTTCATCCTCATATTGAGCTGTTAGCCATATCTCATTAAATATGCACTACGGCTGCAGTTTCATATAGTTGCACATATTTGCATGAATGATTTAAAGCAAGTAGATGAATCATTATATTTTAACCAACTCTGGTTGCTGTTGGAAGTCTTCTCTGGCGCATATGTCGGCACACGGCTTCAAAACTGCTTTTCTCTTTGCTGTTTTTCTCTTAAAGAGGTTTCACTATACCAGAAACGATCAGTATATCAGCTGTTTTCAAACGGAACAGCCTCATTATGTACTTTTATTTATGGTAAGATTGTAATATTTGATCCACTCAATCCGTTTTCCTGCATTTATCTTGGCATAACCTCCTTCATAACTGAATAATTTTTTTCTTTTATTGCTCCGTGGAGATGGGAAGAGCTATCTAGCAAGCAAATTGCCTAGAATAATTCTGCTAACTACCCTGATTGTGGAATGGACACCTGTGAATTGCTTCGTAATATCCTTATGAGCTCTTTAATGAGCAGAAAATGACTTCCAAACAGATATCCGTATCCAATTGTCAGGTTACATCTTTCACGGCAAAGAGCCAGCTTTAATGTCTCCAGTCGCTGTTACACTCGAAGCAGCCAGATTGATCCACTTACACATTAGACTGCACACAGAAGCCTTTTTGTTCTAAAAAAGCAATTGTGCACAAGCATCTCAATAAGCTTTACTTCGTGTCACTAAAAGGGTTGACATGTGATGGAAAAACACCTTTATTCTGTGCAGGATAGCTAATATTTGGGTGTCACTTTAGGTCCCCCCTTCCAAAAAACAACAACCTTCGCACAGCTTTTGGATCTGTGCCTCTGGAAGTGGGACAATTAGTTTGTATTTCAGATGTCCAATGGAAATATAGAATAAACGGTGTTCAGACCCCTTTACTTCATTACAAAACATAACTTTATAATTCAGATTATGGTGCATTTTGGATCCCCCCGTTTATAGGTGCAGTAAACCTATAAACTGGGGAATCCAAAATGTTTTCAGAAAAATTGTGTTTTTTGTGTACACAAATATTCTCCCAACACACAGTTTATACTTAAAATCTCACCAACAATCCTGATTAACCTTGCATATCCGTATCAAGCGTCTTATCACTACTTTGACCGGTCGCAAGTTTAAAAATCGGATTTTTTTCTTTTGCATTTGAATACATCAAAACCAGCAACAAACGTCTTTCAAAAACATCCGACGGAATAAACGGCCCAGATAATGCCAAACTCCCTAAAGTTTGCCTCCAAACACTTGAGGCACCGACAAACTGAGCCACAAAGGAAAGTCGGGCTAACGAAAGCCATATAGGAGGAAAATGTATTGTTGCTCGTGTCGTGTTTTTTTTTAATGTAAATTGCGCAAGGAGAGCATGCCTGTAACAGGTCGCAGCCTACCGGCTGTTCACGTTCGACCTCCAGCAACAATAGGAGTTAGTGTTTCAAAATAACGATACCAGACACCAGGGAGTAATTTTTTGTTGTTGTTGCTATATGATTGTCACTCTTTACTAACGGTTTTTGAAATTCGACCGGCTCCAGCGACCTGCTGCTTTGCATTAAGGCTAAACCGGCTGCAAAGCAAGTCGCTCTCTATGCCTTTGCTTCCCAACGCCACAGTAAGGAAAGTAACTATTGGCTGTCACTAGATGACGTATCACCTAATTTGCGTATTTGATTAAGTAATTGGATCCCCAGCTGTGGGACAGAGGAATTTCAACTTAAGCTAGTCAAAAAGTGATTAAAACACTTTGAATATGTTAGCTGTAGCTACAGTTTGACTTTCTTATATAATTTCCTAAATGTAATGCTTGGTCGGGAACCATACTACATGGAATTATTTTGTGAGAGTATCACGAATTCAGTGGCAGTGGGAGCTTTGCGCATGCGTGAGTACTTTGCATAGGGAAGTGGGAGGGGCTCAGGCAGCACTCACTGTTTGCTGAGGACAGTAGCCAGAGTGGTGCTTTCATGTGTAGTCCCAAGTCCAATAGCACAGAGAAAAAGCAGCTAGATTTCTCGCTTTAAAAAAACAAAACAAAAGAAAAGTAAGAGAAGCTAGAGGAGTCTGACAAGTGGCCAAATATAGCAACAAATCACTAGTTAGCAACACTGCAGTTCACATCCCCAAGTTTCTGTTCAGCATCTGAAACTGTCAAACAACTGTCATACCATCCATGTTCCCTTGGAGGCTTATTGGCATTCACACCTGCTGTCCTCCCTCAGCTCAGAACCACCTGGCCCAGTTCCATCAGAAAACCTGATAAAGGTGAGTTTGGCAATCACTAAAACACACAGTTGTATCACAGTCAGTGGGTGGAAATTGGAATTGTGTGCATCATTCTGGTCATGCAACCATGCAATGGAAGCAGGCTTTGGGGCCATTTCAATTTCAGTCAATATGATTTATTATTGATCATTTGCAACCCATTTAATTTTCTGTCTGTTTTCCAAATTGTTACATTGTGGAAGAACACAGAAGCGGAGAACATATTGAAAAACATGTCTGAAATGCATAGGATTCTGCTCCAAGAGCAGCTTTGGGTCGATTGAGATTTATCATTGCAAGTAATAAAGCACTTAGAGGGAGGCCTGATGTTATCTAGGCCTGCCAAAGGTAGCAAAATAAATGCAATATAGACAGAAAGCAAACTGCAAGCCTGTCATCTCCATTTTTAAAAGCTGTACACGCAGTGTGTAGTGCAAGAAGAACTGGAAGCTAATTCCTGATTTTTACAACGAAAAGTCTAAATCAGAGGGTTTGTGGAGGGTTTCTTGAGATAAAATTGTGTCTTTTTACGAGGATATGCCTTTGATCACAAGAAATCATTCACAAATGCAACTTTGCATTTAACTCCTTATTCCAAAGTGGTGTGATTAATTCAAGTCTTTTACATTTGAATTTTGAGAATTAAAAAAACAGTATAGAAATTAATCTGTAACTGGTTCCAAACGAGGTAGGGCTTTAATTTGTGGTAGGTAGGTGTCCAATGAACATTGTTGTCATAAAACTGTTCTGTTGTGGCTTTATGCACTTCATCACTGGGCTTGTGAGTTTGTTTTTTAAAAATGAACAAATGATGAAAAGATGCTCAGATGCCTTAATCAGAGCAGATAAAGTCTCATGCTTGTTGGCAAAAGACAAGACTGTTAATATGGATGTCTTAGTTTGGATCTTCCAGATGGTGTGATCTCGTTAAGTTTGTGTGGTCATACATTGCTCATATCTAGTCTTTGTTGTTTTCAGCTGAAAAAAACCTCAGAGAAAACCTCATCACAGCACTTTTCCTCGCTTATTAGCTCATCTCCCTGGTGAGGAAACCTCCTGCTTTTCCCAAGTCAAGAACGCTCCAAATGCTGCTGGTCTGAAACCATTCTGCTTGTAAACAGCGCCCAGAATACAACTTTAAACCACTCTCTAGATGTTTGTGAAGGTTAAAACTACCTCATTTGAAGCACATCAACCTTTTTCTCATGCGTAAACCCCTGCAACCCAGATCTGTGGTGGTTTCCAGCTCTGCGTTAGGCTGTTCTGCTTCACAGGCTTCAGACGGGGCCCGTTGTGCCCTCCTGGTCCAGACAGCTAATGCGTGTGTTTCACCCTGAAGCGGCGGGTGAAACATTTGTTTTCATGACAGTGTTTGATCTGTAGAGTTGCAAAGTGGGAGTCAAAAAGCAAGAAATGAGCCAAACCCCTTTCCCCTCTGTCCCTTTAAGAATCAGAAGCATTTCAATACAGATTAGGGTTTGGGATGGTAAAAGAAAAACCTGCTTTGTCATAGCTCAAACCAAAATTTGACCAATTGAAGAGTTTTCTATATTTATAGATGTATGTTTTGGGGTGTTTGGAACTGAATTTTATTCCTCACACAGGAAAAAAAACTATTCAGAGAATAAAACACATGTAGGCAGATCCTACTCTCAAGAGAAACACATAGACAATCAAAGCAAAAAGAACGTAGAAGCTTTTGATCGATTTATTTGTTTATTTTTATTAATCTTTTTTTTAAGCTCTTTTAAATGACCTAACACTTTTGGCTCCATGCCCCATTTGCCTCGGTTAAAGCCAGTGATTTGTTTACTCTACTGGAGCCTCCTGAGTCATGTTCAAGAGCAGCCTCTTGTATGTTTCTGCCAGCAAATGCATAAGGCAGCTTTCACAGCCAGAAGCTGTGAGAGTGTGTGAGGGAGGGTTGGAGTGGTGTAAAAACACTGCATGTGTCCTCATACGCAGATTCACTCATGTGTGCACCTTTAGCTGATAAAAGAATCTTGTAATTCGAACCGAAGCAGAAGTAGCCAAACAGTGAGTCATGCGTGCGCGACTTAATTTCTTGGCTCCGTATTTACCAAACGCAGAGCAGTGTCACTACAAAGGCACCCCCCCCCCTGCTTTATGTGATGTGTTTCATCCCCCCAAAAAAGAAAAAAAAAAGCCATAAGCACATATGGAAGGAGAGTAGGTTTCTGCTGGCTGAAATGGAGGCTGTTAGAGGAACATTGGTCCCAGGTGTGATGGCACAAACCAGGCTGCCATTCACCCACAAGACAATCAGGATAACAAGCATCCTTCAGACACTCAAGCAGACAGGAGAGCTCTCTGAGTACAAAGAAAAAAATAATAAAAAGAGGAGAAAAAAAATGTGAAGGACAGGGGCAGTGAGGTGTGGAAGGGTAGGGAAAGCATGTGAGGTAAAACAGATAGGAAAAGGCCTTTGGGAGGGGGGGGGTGAAGAGTGCGCCATGCAGGAATAAGACCTGAAAAGTGTTTTAGTACATCCACTTGAATGTGGCGATCTCCGTTATCCGAATGGTGGTTTGTAATTCTGAACCAGCCGACCTGACACAGCTGCTGTAACTCACCCTCTCCTGCAGAATCCCTCTTGAGAAATTCCAGAGACTTGAATCCAGCGAAAGAAAGACTCTTCAGTTTGGCCAGATGGGGAGTTTTTACTCAAACGTCTGTTAGAATTAGCTTTTATTTGTAGAGAGCTGTACTTTTTTCACTGAATTCATACTGAACGTGTACAGGAACACGGTCCTCTTTTATCTGTGTTGCATACGCATCATGTTCATCCTACCTAACATTTTCTATGTTGGAGAGAACCCACGCCGACACCTTGAGTACAGTCAAAAGAAAAGTTTCCAGTCCTGGGATTGGATTTGGGAATCCTCTTGGTGTGAGGTTACTGTGCTGTTGCATTATGTCCAGCCTTTCTGCTGTGTGAGGCAGGCCCAGCCCAAGAAAATAACTGTACATCCCACCTGGAAATGGAGGTACCTTGTGATCCAGATCCTCAAGGGGCTCTGTCAGTCTGAGCCCAGCGCTGCATTACTTTACCTGTGACCGGAATACACTTCCCATTTGTGCACTGGCAGTTTCTCTGCTTTATTTTCAAGTTTCCAATAAAAGAAGGTGGCTGACACTCCCCACATCCACAATCAACTATCCAATATATACGCCCCCATCCTTTGTCAAATCACTGTTGTGATTTATTGTTTCTTATACTACCAAACCAATAACAGGACCCAATATGAACCATTAAGTCCTTAGCAGGAGGACAAACGACCAACAGTGGGAGTCTGTGGGGCTGTATCAGATAATCGGTTGGCTGGCTACAACAATTGGCTTATTAAATCATGTTATTTAGAGGTAATTGGGCATTTATCTATTGGCATCTGTCAGTGATTATTTCCTAAAGTTGGTAAACAAAGAACTCAGTTGGACAGTGGTTTTGAATGGATGTTCATTTACACTGAGCACTTATGTGTGTCTTACATTATTAACAGCCAGTGCACAGGCGCAGTCATCCATCCCACTATCTAAATAATTGCTGCTATTGACGGGTCCATTTTTGTCTGCCACTGGAATCTGAAATGATCTAAAGCTGTGGAAGTGTAATTACTCCCGTCGTCACTTTGTCCTAGCCCTGGATGACTGAGAGACAGAAGAGGTTGATGAGATGCCAGGGAAAGTGGAAGCTTTGTGCTTCTGATCCAAAACCTTGGGAAAATAGATCAGAGTCCGGTGCATTTGCCATAAATCCTGTTTTGTTTTACGCAATATTTAGTTCCTCGTAACTAAATGAGTCCTGGAGTCAGTTCCTGGTGGGTGTGAACTTGAGTCGTGGATGGCGTTTTGTGACAAAAGCTAAATTAACTCAGCTCTCTTTGCATAGTTAAACATTTTTTATATATATATGTGTGTGTGTTCAACTCAACTTTTGAGCAACTGTCTTATTAAAAGTGACCTTATTTCATCTTTTAAACAGAGCAATGACAATGGAGGACAGACATGGAGCTGTCAAGGAAAGAGAGGCAATCAGCTCTCCATGGCGACCCTCTGGGTGCCTCGCTGTGTCATTAAAGTGCTGCTAGGAGCACAGCTTGTTAGCGGACATAGATGTCAACAGCTGAGACAATCAGTTAACGTGGAAAAAGACCCCCCCCCTCCCCTCATACTCTCCCACATGTCACAGACAGGTCTACATGCGCGTAAAAACTGACAGCGTGGGCCGATAAAGGCGACATCTTCCTCTAATAGGCCCCGACACGAAGGTGGAGGATGTCACCGCTTCACCTCTTCCAGCTGGCAGCGCAGGCACTAGTATTTCCAGTTTCCATGGTTTCGCCGTGACGGATGCCACAGTTCCCCCCCCCATGTAGGCGTCTGTCGCACATCAAACGGTCCCAGATGGCCCAAACTGATTTTATTAGCAGAGCTTCTTTTAAGATAATCCGGTTCTCCCTCTCCCTCTCTCTATTTCTTTTTTTTTTTTTTAAACATTTTTACCATTTTCGTAGGGATTATCTCCTGCGGCAAGTCCAGCCTGCATTGCTGGACAGATTCCTCCGGCCGCCGCCTCCCATTCACTGGGGTCAGGGAAAGGCGCGCTCCCTCCTGTGCGGCGGCCCGTGCCAGCGGAGCATATGGCGGGGACTCGGGGCCAGATGACGCTCCGGGATTGTCGCATGTGATGCGGGACACCGCTGCTGTTCATGTTGCTGTTGTGTCTCATTAGGGCAGAAGACCATATTTTGACGAATGGCTCGTGTTTGACGTGTTTCAGTCGGTTTGTTTTTTTATTTGTTCTGTCATTCAGGAGCTCCTTAAATCCCACAAATGTGCATCCCTGCCTCCAACCCCGCCGTGTACAAACCCACCTGTGCTTTAGGGTTGTTTGAGTTTAGTTTTGTTTGAGCCCTGGCAGAACAGTTTTTTTGTTTTTGTTTGTTTTTTAGAGTTTCAGACAGGCTGAACAAACCACTCTGCCACCATCTTTGACAGCTGGTGACACCCAACATTAACCATGAGCTAATTAGGCTTTTGATACTCTGCAAAGGAGTTTGGGGCATATTTATTTGTTTTCGTCTTAGCTGCCCTAGAGTGTCGGTGTCGGTGATGCTCCATTAGAACACGGCTGAGTAGAACACATCCCTGAAATGGAGCTGGTGACAAAGGCTCAGGGGCGGTGGAGAAGGTTAAGCAGTTCCTAACACTCACTCTATCAAGATCGAATAATTAATTAGGTCTTTAGGAAGTTGTTTTAGACTTGGCGTCCCACACTTCAAGGGAGGAGGTGGAGGTTTGCTTGTAAAACCCTCCAATCAGCTCTGATAATGTCACCCTTCTCCATGGAGGATATCAAGATGTGACCTATAATGAAGACATTTCCACACCTGCGGCGTGAACTTGTGTTCCCCCGAATAGAAGGGAAACCTTTCTACGCCTTTGCCTTTGAATGTTGTAAATTTCATGGCCACACTGTTAGCTTTGAGTATGCTTTCAGGACCGGCTAACCAGACCGGGCCCACGTGCTGTGGGGGCAGCGCTTTCGTTCCGCTTCAGGCTTCTGCTGACCCGCAGGAACCCAGGCACCACAGGCCCGTCATTAGGCCTGGAACCAGCACTTTTGATTGCTTTTTTCTCGTTTAATTCAATCAAGGGGAGGTATTCAGATTCTTCCTTCTACTGCGTTTGAGCGCAGTGTTTTAATTAGTGAGAGAGAGGCGGTGGATTCTTCTGATTAACGCGTAAAGGACTGAGGTTTTCCTTCCCACCCCGTAACAACTGCATTTAAATGAGTCGAGCCCCTTGTTTTTCCCCTGCGAACTTTGACTTTGGACTCTTGTTTTCAACTGGAGCAGGTGAAGTGAGAGTGTCCCTCCCTATCTGTTGTGAAGGGGTTAGGCATTTGAATGGGAATGATTGACACTGTGTTGTTCTATAGATAGAATTATGTCTATCTATAGTATATCCAAATATGTTCTAGCCCACAACAGCAGATTTATTCAAAGAGTAAATTTGGAGCTAAAAATGTCCTAGTTTTAGACCACAGATATAGGTTTGGTAATATTTAAATAGTACTGCTTGGTCACAAGCTCACGCCATAGCACTGCATCAGAGACTTAAATGATACATTACTAAAAATAAATATCCTGACTGTTGGTAGTTAAAATAGACAAATAAAAGCAAGTGACTGCATCTCAGAGGGCTGTGGTGTTCATGTTCCATACCCCTCAGCTATGTGTGGAGGATAAATAAAGGGGAGATTATAAAAAAGAATATGAGAATGGAACTGAAGCAGTTCAGTAGGTGTCAAGAGCACCTTGAACTAGTCGGTTTAAAGTGTTATCAGGATCAAATCTGTTACCAACCTGCAGACACGCCGTATTTACTTTGTCATCAGTGGCTTAGTAGGATTATGATCCGAGAACCAACTGTAAGCGGTTTGTTTTCACCAGGCCTGCCTACACTGTTGCGTGAGGCAAAACCACTCCGCCTGTTATTACGGCAGGCTGTTAATCAAACAGATGTGTATAGTGCGTGGTGTGTATTTTCCACTCGATCACTAACTCGATTGTTCTGAGAGGTTCAGTGTGGCTCCACCTTTTTGAATATGCAGAACAGGTCCTTCATATGCTGGCGCCCACTCAGCATATGTATTCATACGTCTTCATGCGCGCCCACCGCAGGTAAAGAGTAAACAAACCCATCAGACACCCTAAGAAGGATAGATGTGCAAATCTCCATAATTGCCCCGTCAGTGACTTCCCGTCTGGTGCCGTTTCATGCCGTAACGAGCTGCCGGCACCTCCCAACGCCCCTCAATAAAAAACACCGGCTCACTCAGTCAATCGCACATCCGGCAAAGCAAAATCAAACAAACAGACCAAAAAAAAAACACCTGCTTTAGATAAACTACTTTTAGATAAACTACAGCCGAGCTCTGTGACTTGAACTTTATCCGATACGAGTGCTCCTCACAGCGAGGGAGACGGCAGACAGGCGCAGATTATGTTTACATCTGTGTTCCCCCACCCAGCGGGCCCCTGAGAAACGGGAGTTTTTGTCCTCTGCGGCGCACAGAAAGCAGACGGGGCCCGGTGCAGCGCTGAAGCCTGTTTTCTGTGTTCATTGTTTGTGAGCCACGCTGTCGTAAAAAGCACAGAGGGGGGTGCATTTGATTTGCAAATTGGTAGTGCGGGCGGGGGGGTTGGGCAAAAAAAAAAAAAAGGGAAGAAATGCACATTTGCAAGGACTCACAGGTGTGTTTGTTCTCTGCCTGGATGATTTGCAACTGCAAAATGGTGTGCTGGTACCTGGCTGCCTCCTGAGCTCCTAACAAAAAAACCCCAAAGGTTTCTGGGTAGGTGTGTAGACGGGGCGGTGGGGGGTCATTTACCAAAGTGGCTCCTCGGCAGAAGCGCACAAAAATGCTGCAAGTTACGGTCAGCGGGGGCCCTCTGTTAAAATTCAGCCAAGCGCTGTTTACTCTATCTTTCCAGTCAATGCCCTGCGCTCACATCGTGCCCAAGGTCGCTTCTCATTGGACTCAGGTGTGTGTGTGTGTGTGCGAGTGTGTTAGTCGCTGCGTGAAAGAGTTATGTGTTCGCTGAAGGCGACAGAGACAAGGTCTCTCAAATGCCATGGGAGGCTGGCCTGTATCATTTTTCATAGTCAAGGAATGTCTGGTACCATGTTTGTCCACTTCTTGTTTCTATGAATGTGTGTGTCTGTGTGTGTGAGTGTGTCTGTGTGTGTGTGTAGGAGAGCGTGCACAGCCAGCTGGTTTTTGAGAGACCCGTGGCGTCACCTGCTGAAAAAGCACAGGTGTTTCCTCTGATAGCGCGCTCTCTCTCCCTCCCTCCCTCTCTGACCAGGAAGTGGCAACCACCCCCCCATCGAAAAGAGTCCTCACTCAGGCTGACCCGTCCACACACCACGCCACGATGGCCTCACCTCAGGACGCCACTCTGCGTGAGTATTTTTCTCTTTTGGCCATCCTCAAGGTTGTTTGGTAATGGAATTTTATTTTTAAAAATAAGCAAGTTGGAAAAAGTTTTTTTTTTAAACATTTTTCCAAAAGAAAACAGATTTGTTGCAACATCAGATAAGCGCTAACATGTGAGAGCGCACGCAGCAGTGGGATTTCATCATGCTTACACCGCTGTCCCGCAGCCACCCGGCCCGGGCTGCAGGCCGCTTAATGCAATGTTTTTGTTTTCCCATTTGTCCCGGACGAGATAAACATTTGGCAGAGGGCTGCTTTTTTGAAAAGCTAGATTGTTCATTTCCAGATAAGCTTGTCTCCCTGGCAGCTTTTTTTTAATGGGAAGCCGGTGGCTTGCTAGATACGGGGCTTCCATTACGGCGATAGCGCCTGTGGTGGTTCCCTCCACTCTGTTTTCCCCCACCGCCGCCTACCTGAACCCACAGCTGGATCTCACACTGCCAGCAACTGTCCTCATTTAAAAAAAAAAAAGCTATTATCATTTTTTTTTGTCACAGAAGGTAGATCTTTCACCAAAAAAAGGACAACACAAGTCATTTACAAAATTAAGATGAGACTAATGGCCCGTTTTGCTGGCACCGGTATAAGAAAAGGCAGTGTAATGATCCTTTGTTCCTTCATCGATTTCACAAAGATTTTCTCTCACACTTACACTCTGTAGGGTAGATGATCTATGACATGTAAACACAGTCAGAAAGGCATCCAAATAGATGTAAATCAATCCATAAATGTATTCACAACAGGCTTGCCAGGTGACGCTTCCAAGTTTTCCCAAGTCATAAAGTAATTTCTGTAGAATCTGCCTCTCCATGGGAACATTACAGTCAGTGCACCAGAGCGCAAACAAACACTGGCTAATCTCGGAGCGTAAAATAAGCTTATAGATGGATATTGTCCTCTGGCCATCGTTGTACAAAAGGCTCATTTCTCCCTGGTGACGATGAGCCAAACAAAATCTCTCAGATATTTGCCTTTAAAGAGACCAGATGCGCACAAAGATGTGTGTGTGTCTTTTACCTTCGAGCACACTGATGTCCTCCCTCCTTGGTAATTGACACAGTCAAACTGATGTGGCTCATAGATTATTATAAATTTTTTAACTATTCATGACATTACCCATAAAGAAGTATGCCGCTTTTCCACTTCAGCCTGGGCTTTTCTCTACTGCTGCGTCTATAATGTCCACGCCTTTGCCCTTCAGCGTGCCACCCTTTTTTCTGATCAAGCTGTTCTTTTTCTTAAAGTGGAACCCAACTCCTGAGTGGTGCCTTTGTGACTTATGAGTTATGCTTGTTTACCTAGAACTCTTATACGGCCGGAATGCCGTTTATCCGGGGAATGGATGACATCAGGTACGTGACACCACCGAGCATATGACTTCTTCACGGAGCACTATAAATACTATTCACATGACAAATGCAGAACTCGGAGGTAAATTCCGAATGCCAATGGTTAGAAAAGCTTTTGGAGAGGGCTGCTTAACGTTCCGCTCTCTGGGGGAGCTGAACGCCGCTGCGGGGGGGCCGGGATGAGGGCTGCTGCGTTTGATGGTGCAATCTCAGTTCTGAGAGTGCCAGCGCAGAATGAGGAGGCTGTGTGGGGACCGCATCACTCGTTTACCCATAAATGCTTCAGGCCGTCTTTAAGTTTGGCCCTTTTTTTTAAATTTTATATTTCAACGCCACCAATCGGCCTCCAGCCTGTCCGTCTCGCTAAATGTTGAGGGGCAGTATTAATAATGTGATGGCCACAACGCTCAAATGACTGCGAAGTCTGATCTGATCCACAGATGTCAGCAGATTACGCAGAAACCGTGGGGACAATAATCTCCCTGAGCCCGTCAACAGGAGTCCCACTGAAATCCTCCGTGGGTTTGTCCTTAAACAGCCCACACCGACCGAGCTCCTGATGTTCGCATCACTCAAATAAGGGTGTGACTTTCTCACTCGATTAGACTGCGGAGTCCTTGTCCTATTCTTGGTAATCTGCATATATCTCTTCACATAAATCAGCATTTAGTTTTATTAGCCAGTGTGTTGTGTTTTTTAAACTTTTTTTTGCAGATATGAAAATGATGCCATGCATCTTGGGCCAGGAATGGGCCTGTTTTCGGCTTGTCATTTTCTTGCCTGCCATTTGCCAGCTGTGATGTTTTTGCTTATACCAAACGAATGCAAGACATAGCAATGCGGTGATTGTTGAGGGTAAAAGAATCTGAAGTGACGGGAGCGTTGACGGGTCCAGAAGTGGAGCGGAGGCGCGTGCACGCGGGATCGTAAATCCAGACGCCCAGCATCCGGCCCGTCTCCGGGCGCCCTGCCGCAGCCCGATGACGCTAAATCTCCTCGTCACCTCTAAAATTGGAGCGTCCCCCCCCCGCCCGGCGTTGTCCCGCCTGAGCAACAGCTTATGCTTTCGCTGACAAGTTGAGGGTGACAACAATACGCCGGCAGGTTTAATGGCTGGCAGCAGAAAGCAGAGGATGTACAGGGGAACAGGGGCCCACAAAGCCTCTGCCTTTAAATAAAGCACAGGAGCGGAGAACTGCCCTTTGAGCTGATGCAAAGCTCACCTCTAAACCCGCACACTGTGCCTCTTTGACAACAGGCGTCCTCGTTTACATGTTTTCCCTCATGGCGTGGCAGTTTCTCTGAAACACGAAACAGCAGCCTTGCGGCTCACACAGCGGCATAATGTAAATAAAGCTCCTTATGTACAGACTTTCTATGAAAGACGTGTATCAAAATACACACATAAGAAGCTTATTAAACTTCTTAGACAGGCTTGGCCCAGGATTGTTCTTCAGTATTGAATTCTGCCTGAAAAACATATATTTTTTTTGTTTTGATTCATTTGATGTTTTGATAATTCTTGCCAGATGACGTCTTTATGCTATCATGCCTAGGGGGAAAAAAATGAAAAATCATCAAAGATTATCTTGCTATTAATTTCAGATTTGATCCTCTTAACAAGTATTACGGGAAACGAATAATCTCTTAACTAAATTGAGGTTTAAATATGTTTAACTGTGTGTGAAATTACACACACACACACACACACACACACACACACACATAACAAAAAAAAAGGAAAACGCATTTTTTGAATCCACAAAATGTTTGTTCAGTCTTGAGACTTCAGTGATCGTTTCTTTTAGGCGGAACTCGTGTGGCCCGCTGATGTTTGACTCACTGTCAGCAAGATCTATGGGGTTGTTTTTCCCCCACAGCCATTTCCTGGTTTTCCTTTAAGGTTTAAAGGATTTGTGTTATTCTTTAATCTGTAGCTGCTGCCATGGGGCTTATAACTCAGGCGGCGTTTTTTTATGACCTTTCACATGATTATTTATACATATGACAATGTACGCACGGGCCTAAATTTCTCAATGCTCTGTATTCCCGCTCTTTTAAATTCTGTTTGTAGACAAATATAAACACATTACCAGCTCAGCTATTTTTTATCTTTTTTTTTTCTAAGAGTTTACTTGTACTCGTTTTTCTCTCAAAGCTGTGGTACTGATTCTATGAGGGTTTCTGTCTACAGACAGTTAAATTGGTATTGTACGATCTTTTGAAATTATAATTTTTTTTAGCTCTATCGTCATTTAACACTGGCAGGTTGGGAATTAAAATGCCAGCAGTGGAAAACATCAGGAAGTTGTGTTTTCATAACCCCAAATACCAGTTAAATGCACATGTGATCATTAGCATTGATCAGCACCACCCCCATCCAACACACTTACAGTACGTATTAGTTTTATGTCAGAGCAGTTAATCTCTTTATTGGCAAATTACTGTCTTAACAAATGAAAGAAGCCTATCTACAGGCCCTGATTTTCTGGAAGTTATTCTACTGTGAAACGTCTGTGAGCGCGGCCAGTGTCAATCTCAGTTTGGGATACACACAGCCCACTTCATTAGGTATTCTATGAGAGTGTTGTTTATTTTCCACTTTGGGAACAGGAAATCTATGTGCAATTTCAGTGGGATTATCAGCAGAGTGCAGCTTCTCATGCCTGATAACCACACTTTTCTCCAGTCAATGCTCTGCCACGGGCTCCTCACCGGGTGGGCTGCCGGAGAACACCTACTTTTATTTTCTCTGTGTGTGTGTATATGTGTGTGTGTGGGGGGGAGGGGATTGCATCGTATAATTCAGATAGTGAAATGGAGAGATTTGTGCTGGAATGTTGTTTTGTTTTTTAAAATATATATTAACACAGCCATCACTAACTGATCGGCCTCAAAGAGAAGAATTCACGTTAGCCTTTTGGACAGATGCTTGTCCGAAAGAAAACTAAATAAAAAAGTTAGAAAAAAGATGGTCTTGATAGCTTGAAACTTCTTTTTATTTTTGTTTAGCTCTGTTGCACAGCAGGCGTTGCACTGACAGCCCTCCTTTTTGCGTTATTTGTAACACCTTTCAGTCTGCCTCAGAAGCTGACTTTGAAAAAGGTTCAAAGACATCGCAATGGCAAGAAAGGAAGATTTCTGTCTTTCTTTTTTTTCTTTTAAGGTGGAAAAGAAAGGTTTCATCAAGAAAGGTTCTCAGTTCCTGTGACAGAATGTTTTAAATCATTCACCACATTGAAAACATTGAAGGTTAAGAAGCTTATGCAAGAAATATTCAGTATAACAAGCACGCGCGTCCAAGAGCCACATAATAGTAGACTTTCAATGAACTGAGCTTAGACCTGTGTTATCAAGAGTCAATAAGTGGTTCCGCTCCACAGGTAAGAGCAATATATTAGTACTATGAGCTACAGGAATTAATCAAAGGGAGGCTTTTTAAGATATCCTTTTTTACCCTGGGGAATGGACCTTGTTTCCCTGTTTTAGTTTTATTTTCTTGGCTGAGACTCAGAACCATCTCTGGTCCTGCCGGATAACCTTTCATCCAACCAACAACTAAGGATAGGCCTTTTTTCCTTTTTCTTTTTTTTTTTTTTGGCTCAGCCCATGAGAAATCATGTGAGAAAGTGAAAGTGGGACAAGGCTTGAACGGGGTGCTTTGCGGCTTTGCCCCAGGGGGTTGTTTTCCTCATTTCAGGACTCTTTCAAGATATCTATCACAGATCTTCCCAAGGAGGAAATAGACTCTCTGACTTCTGTGTTTATTTTCCTAGTCAATGTTTGTTCAGAACTTCTTTTTTTCCTGAGTTCAGCAGCTTGCTTTTAGTTCCTTTCGGACCCAGTCGAAACGTGCCGTGCTCACATGGCCCCATGTGTAGGACAAATGTAAAACCAGAGCTACTCGTCAAATGACCATAAAAATACCTGCTGAAAGTACACATGCCAGCACGTCTTGGCTTCTTAAGGCTGTGACTGACGATACACTGAACTGGAATTCCTGAAAAACACTAGCTACTTCCTCTGGCTTTTATAAGAATGAATAATGAATAAACTGCACAGACAGATCTCTCGCTGCTCAGTTAGATGCTCCACGGTACACATTTACCTCTTTTCCTCCAGCCTTTAAGTACCACAGATCTCCTTTAACAAGAGTGACTGTTTTCTCATGTGGTTTTGGGAAAAAAAAAAAAACTAAAGTTGAAGGGCTCTTTCTTTTACTGTCTGGCAGTGAAACATATCTGACTTATTTTGTCTGGATGAAGCTCTGTAACTTTTGTCGTCCCTTGCCAGGAGCTGTGCGTGTGCCTAACAGAACAGCGCGTACGGGCTCGGGCCGCACTCGGACACCAAATCCCACGATATTTAGCCTGCTAACGAGACGCGGCTGCAAATGTCCGATCTGTGCCCGTTCCCCGTGTGTGGGTCTGTGTTTTTGTGACTCGCCGTGTGAGACATCGGTGTCCATGAGAGCAGAGTGACATAAGGATCAGGGAATGCAGGGTACCTCTGTGCTGGATGCTAAAAAAAGCCCGCCCACCTCCGCTTACCCTCTCCCCCTAAGTCCACCCCCCCTTTTTCTTTTTTTTTTTTTTATGATGGGGCCTTCTAAAATAAAATCAGCTGTCACTGGATGCCTGGGCCCCACACTGCTGGAGCTGGTCTCCCAGCCTCACCGTCTAATCCCGGACTGACTTTCCTTGTTGGGTTGAATCTTGGAGACAAAAAAGCTTTTTTTGTTTTTAAGGAAGTGCTAGGGTACTTTTTTTTTTTTTTTATCCTCTTCTTTTTATTTGTCCGACTGGATTCTATTATCACTCTACTTATAAAGAACCACCTTTAGAGAAGGTAAGCAATGCATACAGACTTATCAGCACGCCAAGGTTGAGGCTGTTATCAGCCAAAGCCCGCTCTCAGAAAAGCTCTTCTAAAGGGATTTTCCACTACAGCGCAATTGGAAGGAGGCAGATTGGACACGGTAGAGGATATTTCGGGTGATAATGAATCAGTTTGATGTTCTCTGGTGGTGCAACATGAGTCATCTTTGGTGTAAAATCATAAATGAGTTGGAAGTGTGGGGGATGAGGGGGGGGGTGCATTGTATTCAGCTGACTGCATCTTCATGGTTACCGTAACGTCATTTTGTAGCGTGTGTTCTACCAATTCTAAAAGGATATTTTATGAAAAAATACAATTTAAAGAAAAAAAAAGAAAGAAAGGCGTAGAGCCCTTCCCGCCTCCAGACAATCGGATCCGGAATTTTCCGAAAAGCAAAGCAAATCGGAAGGCAAAGTGCTTAGCCCAGCATAAGGAGGAGCTCGGTGTGTGTGTGTGTGGGGGGGGATCCCCTCTCCTAGTGAAGAAGTTATTTTGATAGATTTGACAGCTTAATTATTGTGCCCGTTTTGGCTCTGCTGTTAGACCTCCAGCAGGCCAACGCTGTGGTCAGTAAGGACCACGCAGGGAAAAATGGATGGATTCGGGCCTCCGCTGACCGGGGGGGGGGGGGGCAGGCCTGGGTTATGGCGGGACGGACCTCAGGGCAGCACCTCTCCTCCGACGTCCAGCTCGGCCCACCACGGCCTCCCTTGTTGACCTTTCCTGACCTCTTCTACTTCCATTACCACTGCCTCCCCGGCATGGCGCACATAGAACCCTAATCCTCTCAGATCATCGAATCGAAAGAAAAAAGAAAACGGGTTTAGAAGTGAAGGCCTGCGAGGAGGTTTGTTCTCCTATCAGTTGAACGTTGTAAACAAAGACTCTGCCCTCATTACGCGGGGGCCATCTGAAGCCGCCAGACGGCGTTAAAGGGCCATTATTGCCGCTGATTAAACATCCGCCAGTGCCAGAGCTAATTAGCGGCAGCGCGAAGAGACGGGGAACGCTTTTTAAGTCTTTGAACACCTCTCACTGGTAGTCCTTCAGTCCGGAGTCGACTTTTAGACGCACACACACACACAGACCTCCGGCTCCTGCCTGGTTAAACTGGCTGTTTCGGGGGGAAACATGACGCTGCAGACGGGGCTGGTTTCTAAAAAGGCTCTGGGTCGCCCCCCCCCCCTCCTCATCAGTTCAGTTACCTCACCCCGGCGCTATGGCAGCTTTGCATATGACTTGTTCAGAGCCAGGGAGACAGCCCGGGTGCTCTCGTTACCCCTCTCAGGCATGAAAACTCCCATGTCACCTACTCTGGCCGACAGTTCCAGACCATGACGCTGACACGTAACCCCGGGTGACAAATGGCGGGATTATCCTTGTGTTTTCTGTCATCGAGCCGGCATTGAGACGCCTGCACCGCCACAGGGGTAGGATTTCTGACCCATATTTATAGGATGGAGCCGGATGCTGCCCCCGCCCCCCCCTTCTCCCCGATGGCTTATAGCTCGCATGCCACACGTAGCAGAAAGCTAAAAGAAGTAGCTGGATGTGGGGATGCGTTTATCACATGGTGCCCGCACGAATCCTCCTTGCCCTCAGATTTATTTGGACTTTGTTTTTTGTGAGTGATGCAACCGGTGAGCCGCTTTGGCTGGACGGGGGCTGGCAGGGAAACGGAGGAGAGTGACAGCACGTTTCCTATTAGCTCGGCCCCAAACAGGAAATTTGGTTCTCGCCGTTTCTCCAGAAGGTGTCTTTGCACCCTGGAGTCGCCGGCTTATTACTGTCTGGCATTTTAGGAGCAGATTGCCACGCGGCTCATGTGCACCGATAGCAGCCGCCATGCCCAGCACTCAAAGCCTTCATTTCCAAGTCAGCATTTCCAATATGAATGACAATAAAGTTGCTTTATTTATTTATTTGCTTAGACAATATTAGATTTGATAAAGAGCACGACTGGCTACTTCAGTGCTTCTCAGCAGTTTCCCATTAAGTTTCAGATTTGTTCAGAGGAGCATCTGAAGCGTGGGGGTGACTTAGCTGTTTAAATTCGTGTATATATGAACAGTTTTATTGTATTTTTCATCTACGAGTTACATTCTTTTTTATAACGTCACAATACAATGCTACCACCACATATTTGAACAGTGCGACAACTGTGATTGGCTGTCATTTTCCATTCAAGGCAGAGCCAAGATGTCGTTATAAATGAGCTCCTCTGAAAACCTGTGACGAATGTGCAGATTTTCATATCAATGTTCACATTTATTTTTACTCTTTTTTTTGGTGTCGGTGTCTGATTAAAAAACCTAATCACGTTGACAAGCAGAATGACCGATTTCTATTATGATTCATTGGAGAAAAAATACGAAAAAGTTGAGTGGACATATTCACCTGTGGAGGTGGAGCTCGCCAGTCAAACGCCCAACCTGTGCTCGAGCCCTTTGATGTTTAAAAGAAGTGAGTTAAGTGCAAAACAAGCAACAAAAAAAATATTTCAAACAGGACAAGCAGAAAGATTTCAAAATGTTAAAGGTTGCTGCACGAGCGCATAATGAAAGGGAATAATTTCCACTTAAGGTCCTCTTTCATCCCACAGTGCTGTTTCCCATGAAGAAAAAAACATACCAAGAGCTAAAAGGTCCATTGTGGGTGTATGTTGAGCCTTAACATAAGTCCTTTTTGTATTATTCTTTTTTTTAATGTTACCTAATGATGCTTTGGAGCATAGAAAAGTCAAACATGAAATCAATGGTGTTGTGTCATTGGCTATCCACAGGAATGCACTTAAACAAAACGGAGACGCTTTTTTGTGATGGAATTGAGTTTTGGGCCAGCTTTTGCTGTGCTTTGTATGTGCTTTAGGCAACATCCTTGCAAACGAAATCTGTAGAGCTACTGGAAAGTTTTCTTCATGGAAGTTGAGGTGGGGTAAGGATAAAAAGCCAAAAGCTTCAAAGGCAAAAAACGTTCAGAATTCATTTCTATGTAAATGGAAAGTTAGCTTTTCTTTTAGAGGATTCACCCTGTTTTATCCTTAATAAAAGAATCTTTCAGTGTAAAAATGCCTCTAAATGACTGAACGGCGAGCTCTGAGCCCGCACCGGTCTAAGTGGGTGGCTCACATCAGAGCACTTCCCCACACATTTCCACACGCTTAAAGCCTCGTTTGCTTGGGATGTGTCGTAAGGGGGCATTCGGGTCTTTACATTCGTGTTTCCATTTTTTTTTTTTTTGTTGTTGTGCGTCCAGCCGCAGGCGGCGCGAGCGGATCCAGGCCGGGACGTCCCGAGGAGAGGGCCCCCAGCAGCGAGGACCCGGAGACAGAGCCGGTGTCGCTGAAAGAGAGGCTGGCCATGTACCAGGCCGCTGTGTCCAGCAGAGAGGCCGGCGGCTCCTCCTCTGCTGCGGTAAGACGACACCTCCACTCCAGGGTCTGGGGGGGTTTGCATGTGCAGTTTACTGACCTCTGGCGGGACGTTGGCGTGGGAGGCGTGACAGGGCTGCTTCTTTCTGACCGGCAATCCCGACTGTACTCCAGTCTGATCTACATGTCTACAGGTTAATGCCCACAAATGCAGTTATTATCATTATTATAGTATTTAAGTGGGCCCTTTTCACAGATATTTTTAACCCCCTGTCCAAATAATTCCACATATAGGAGTTCTTTGGTGAAAGAAAATAGCAAAGGCTGTGTCTTTATGTAGGATTAAAAGAAGTCAAAAGTTCACCGCGTCTCTCTGCTCAGATAGCTCCCCCTCCGAAAAAGAAAAGCAGGTTGGTAGCAGGCCTTTGATCAGGAGGCTGTGATTACCTGGCTCGAGCGCTTCATGCTCAGAATGTGAGTCACGTGGGCTAACTGTTAAGGCCATTTCTTTCACTCACAAAACCCATTTTGGCCGTTTTGTATAAGCGCTCTTTGGTAATTGGCCCTGAAAGGGTTCGTAAGAACAGCCATCTACGAGCGGTCAGAGACCAGAACAGTTGCTTTGTCCGCAATGGTGACCAGCAAGCACAAATATGGCTTCATTTAAACCCCTTTGTTACATTTTTACAGCCGTTTGAATGGGTGTTTTTAATGAAAAGAACTTCTAAAACCGGTTTCATTCAGACAAGGCAATCCGTTGTTCTGCAATTTACTGTTGAGATTTTTTTTTACATTTGGCACGTGCAAGAAATAAAAAATGCAAAGAATTGTGGGAAATTACACAGGACTGTGCCTAATTCCTAACTGTTTGTAAAAAAAAAAAAAAGGAAAAAAAATCCCCACAGTTTTGTTCTGGTGCAGAATTAACTCGCCTACGCTGTGATTTCTGATCTGGAACGGCTTCATCTCCTGAGTACCATTCAACTCTACACTCATGCTACAGTTTAGTTTTTTTTTGTCTCCTCTCATCACATGATATTCCTCTGTATCCATACAGCCGTAACGACTCCCGGGCCTTACAGGCATGCGAATGCAATAGATGTTAGAGGCTGCCACGGCTCTCAGTAGAGTGAGTCTGATTCAGGTGGACACACACAGCCAGCATGTCACTAGTATTTTATCTATTTTTTTTTCATTGAAATGAACTCGCACAGAAGAAGACGAAACGAATACAATTCTAAAAACATCTTAAACTCAGTGTCCATACTAAGGCCAAAAAAAACGCCAAATTGGCTTTGAAGAGCCTGTGTGTGCTCAATAAAGCCAAAAATTCAATAGTGATTTTCGTAAAATACCTGCTCCTGCCTTTTAAACTATACGCCTCAACCACAGCTCAAAGCCATCTGCAGAGTGCTCCGGCCACCTGTGCATTTAGCTGGAGCCTCTGCTGGCCAGATGTGGCGGTCGGACCCCGGCCTGCACTCTGGGCTCATGCGAGGGGTCGTGTGACAGCGAGGTGTACGGGGGAGACCCATCCCAGAAACAACTGCCCGAGGAGATCAGGCCTCCAGATTATGTAAATCCTTTGTATCCCTTTAAACGAGGCTAACAGATAAGCAGCGCCACGACTGGAAAAGCCGCCTCCAGCGGGCCTCGCCGGATGAACCTCTTGCACTTCCACTCAGTGATTACTGATGTGGCAGCCTTTACCCATCCTCTGTTGATCCTCGCTGTCCAGCCTCACGTGTTGACCGCTGCAAGCCCTGAAGGGGTCAGGCAGTCGGAAACTGTGCCATTCCTTCAGCTTTCTACCTGCACGGCATTCAAATGACTATGTCCTTTAAATATGGGAAATTAGCCTGCTAGTGTTGCTAGTTCAGTAGATGTGTAGCAAAAGGGTGTCGCTGAGGAAGAGGCAGGAGTAAGAGCTTTAGCAGCTCGTGTCATATGTGTTGGGGATGGAGAAGCCGGACTGAGATGGTCTGGACATTATAAAGGGAGGGGTTATGAATACGCTGGCAGAAGAATGCCGAAGTTGGAAGTGCAAGGGGAGGAGTTTTTAGGGGGGATGGAGGGAAAGAAGACATGCAGATAATAGGGTTAGATGGAGACGGATGAGTTGCCGTGGCGATCCCCGACAGGTACAGCGGATCGAAGAAAAAAAAAACTGTGCTACAATATCTATAGATCATCACGAGAACATTAAATTGTCACAAGTGTAGAAAAAGGCGAGATGAAAGCAGTTGTGGAACTCTACCAGCCTCAGGATCAGGCTTAAAAAATACACACACACAAAAACACACACATGCATATATATATATATATATGATAGACTATTTACTCTTTATAAAGTCCCAATATGTGTTCCTTGCTCTCTAATATGTGCTATGCTTTGATGTGCATTGTTACATAAACACAGTTTTGATTTGATTTGACTTGTGTGGTGGTGGGGCAGCCAAACTTAAGGTAAGTTGTGGGTAAGGTGCGTGTAGGCTGGAATGCGCCCGTTTGCTCGGCATAAGCAGGCAAAAGCGCTGCTGAGGCTTCTGCGCCACCAAGCAGTGAAATATTGATAACACTGGCACCCTGTCATGAAATGCCACGGGACAGAACTCTGCTGCAGCAAATTGCAAATTTCATAGCGCCTTCTCATTTGCATGAATGACAAAAAGCGATGAGTCTAGGCCCCAAGAATTCAGTAATGCAGTCTATGGAATAACAATATACACACACACACAGACAGGGAGCTACTGCAGAGCTTGATATTCTCATATGTACATATAGTAGTTTCCTTGAAGCTATGTCCACGAGCCAAATCCTTTATTAGAGTTGTAATTGCCTATCCCAAAAGGAGATTATTGTATCAAGCGAAGAGCATTCTTAACTGTGTGCCATCGTACAAGGACGAGGACTACATCCTCCATCCTGATGAGAGGTTTAAAGTCTTCTCCCCCCCTCTTTATTTCCACTCCTTTCATCTATCTTTGGTTTAAACTTTTCATTAAGGGAATAAGAAAAAGAAAAGCTTTTATAAAAGCGATCATTTGCCTCTACTCCACTCTATATTCACCATGAACCCCCACGAATCACTGCTTTTTCGCTACTTATATGGATACAGATGGTTTTGCGAGGGGTAATTCATGGTATCCTTTTTTTATTTTTTTCCCCTGCCGATAGATGATGGATGAGTCCGAGGCCTGTTCACTGCCTGGTGGTCTGGCCAGTGTGAAGAGACAGTTTGAGAGCCAGGAGCTCACCTCTTCGTCCTCTCAGACCAGTGTCACTCAGTATCATGTCCAGAAGAGATCAGTCCAGGTGAGACTTTTATCCTAATCCACACCATCCGTTCCTGAAGCCTAAAGATTTGGGCTGCTTTGACGGAAAACTTTACACAAACCAAATTTGTGATCTCCATTTGGGGGCAACGTAAACGGTGGTTAGCTAAGCTTAGTTAAGGATCGAAAACTTCTTAGAGGCTTGTTCTGCCTCGTTGTTGTTTAGGGAATAAAAAAAGGAGCAGTCTGAATGAGACACATTTTCTGTTGTAGAACAAAAGATTTCACAACAAACAATACAGTTATAATTTTTTTATGTCACACAAAGACATGCAAAGCAAAGCAACAATAACAATGGGTGTGTGAATGGAGTGGGAGTCACTCCTTAAAAAAGACGAAAATGGGTCATTGGTTTGTTTTACAGGTGCACAAAAAACAACAGCGATTTTTAATTTTTTTCCTAGCTGTATAAGACTTTATGACAAACACGGTGGAAATAACACACCGCACGAGAGCTGAATCAAGCGCCATCAAAGAAAAGAACGAGCAGCTTCTATGTGCAAAAGGCAACCAGACGGACACAACTTCCGGAAGATGGAGGGTTTAGCTGGAAAAATGTGATGCGCTTCTCATTTTTATTCTTTTTGTTACTCCTCAACTACAAACCAAATGCCGGAGGCTATGCAGACATGGGAATCAATCATTCATGCATCCTTTGGCAAATGTACACAACTGAAGACCTCCAGGAACCAAGTTTCTCAAACTTTGGAGGACATCTTAGGACACAAGACCCCCAAAGGCCTCAGTGTTGTATACCTGGACCAGCTAAACAATGGTGCTTAAAAAAAAGGATAGAAGGATAACTATCTATTTAAATCTATAATTGGCAGCAATAAAATCATAAGAAGTTGGTGAAATATTTTCATCCAAGCCAGGGCACACACATACACACATATGTATATATATATATTTATTTATGTGTGTGTGTAAAAGCCACTGAAGTATACTCTAGTCTACTGTCACTTTTTATTGCAAAACCCTTGACTGGTATGGCCGATGTCTGCGAGCCAGGTCAAATCAAAGGCGGGCACCTTGAATTTCTCGTTGTTTTTGTGGAAAATGCCAAAACGCGTTAGCCAGCAGCCGGGGACAGGGGTTGACCCTTTCAGAAGCCAGATAAATTATTCCCACTACTTGGCAATTTTCTCCGCTTGCTAAATCAGGCAGAGAAAGAGTGGGTCTGCGGAACGTACAAGAAACATGCTGAATGTTGAGTTTTCCGCACTGGTTCCAGACCGGCCATGTCCGAAAAAGTTTACTCAAGTTGGCACTTCTCGGCAGCAACATCAAATACATTAGTTAGGTTTTTAAAACATTATTTGTGAAAGATTTACATTTTGATAGACTTTAATTACTGGCAGTTGTTTCCGAAGCACAGAACATCCCCACCCTCCATGTATCTTTCATGTTAACAGCACAAGCATGCAACCTCAAAAAGCTCCTATCTCTTTCATCTCCTTCAAGTTGCATGAATCTCAGCGGAGGAAATGGCTGATGCAGTTTTGTGAAGTCTTTGTAATCTTTTGCTTTTCTTTCCAACTCCTGAAATCCTCCTTTGGCAGAAAACTCAGGCTCCACGGGCTCCCTGGGAAGCAGCGCAGTAATGGAAAAACATTTGTTACCGGCCACAGAAGGGGATTTTATGAAGCTTTTCCACCATGTAAAAATGACTTACCCTCCCACTGTTTCTTTACAGCTCGCAGTCATGAGGTGATAAAACAGTGTGGCGTAGTGTGTGCAGCCATTTGTGGAGCCGGGGCTGAGGGCTGTGCAAATGTGTTGCCTCTGCAGAGAGATGGGGGAGTTTCAGCCTGTCCGCTTTTCTCTGTGTTTGACAGGAGATGTCAAGCTCCACCGAGGTGACGGTGAGAAGCAGTGCCATGGAGAAAGTTCCCACGACAACCCTCTCTCGGCAAGAGGTATTTGCCTCCGGACGTGTGGATGCATCTCCAACACATGCTGCCTTTGTCATTATCTCTCAGCTCGCTAAAACGAACCCCACGCTCAGCCATTTCCCGCTGATTGAAAACAGTCACAGGCTGCCGTGCAGGTGCTGCCTCGCTAATGATTTGTCGCTGCCTTTTCACAGGTGATCCACGATCAAAGAGTCCAGCATAACAACGTGGCTGCCAGTTACGGGAACCATTACAATGAAACGGGTTAGTCATCCCGGGCCTTTTATATTATAATTTGCAGGTTTTTATCACAGCCCTGCGTGTTTCCTATGTATTAATGATCTTTCCCACTACGAGGTGAATAAAGGATGAGCTCTTAGAAAAGAAAAAAAAACAGAAAAGTTGGAGTGCGGGTGATTTCCTGTTCAGTGCATAGCCGCAAATCTAATCAGGGCAAAGTTGGGAAGGTAAAATATTGGAAGCTGGAAATTGGGCAATCACTGCTGCATGGTTTCAGAAAATGAAAACTACTCAGGTTTTTAATGAAATGATTTATTTCTCTCCCCTGTTCCCCTGAGCTTCCTCACCACGAGTGATTTAATGAGGCAGTCTTCTTCTTCTGTCTAATTCAGTTATGCTTGTCGGAGGAGAGGACCTACCAAAGGTTTCCACTCAGGCTTTGAAGCAGCAGTATGAAAAAACCGTTGAGGAAGCTTCACCAGTCAAAGAAATTAAGGTAATGATGCTGTTTGTTTATCTAAACAGATTATATATTTCTACTTTATCTTTTTTTTTTCATGAGGTATTGGCACCACGAGGCCAAATCATCAACTCATGAAAGGGGAACTGCAGACACCATGAGGTGGTGGAAATTTAATTGGACTGATGAAAGACCTTGTCATTACTCAGCCCAAATATGAGACCCCCCTCGCTTAGTATGTTAAAAGGAAAGCCAAGAAATGACAAGAAAAGTAACATTGCTCTCTGCAGTTCAGGGAAAATTTCAATCAAGTCCATAATTACAAAAGTGCATCACTGAAAATGCTCACTTGCTACAGACTCACACACTCAATGTGTGTTTGCCTTTATGCATTACATTGAAATCAAGTTTATCTTTTTTGCTTTTAGCTTTGGAAAGGGACTTTAAATTAGAAACACAAATCATGAAAGTTTCCCGGTTATTGTGTTTGTGAATGTTACAACTGTCCTTCTCTGTGCTTTTATAAACCAAAAATATGATGTACTTTTCTCTCAAACCAACTCGATCATCCTTCCTTCTCTCCACTACTAAAACCACACATGCACCGTAGGTTGATGTGGATTTCAGCCAGTTTCAGTGGGCCCCCGTCAACCAGTCATCCAAAACCTCAGTTATGAGCAGCTATGACACGTCCTCTACCGTAAAGAAGGTAGCTACTTCATCGGTGGCATCCGCCTCATCGATGGCCTACGAGGCCACAGAGAATTTTCCTCCCCCCCCTGCCAACCTCCCACAGGTGTCGCACGAAACCCCCGAGTACGGGCCACAGGGGCCGGCCTCCCAGCACAAGTACACAGTGGATAAGGAGCAGTACTTCAAACACAAGAGCATGGCTGAGCTGAAGCGCCTCTACAAGCACATTCATCCAGAGGTGCGCAAGAACCTCGAGGAGGACTTCATGAGTCAGCTCACGGAGGAAGAAAAGGCAGCGCTGGAGAGCAAAGAGATAGTAGGTGACGTCCAGCAGGCGTGCTGTCTGTTTGAAAATGACGGCAACAACTCGAGCGGGTGCTCCAGCCCGGACGGGGAGTACCTGGAGTGGGAGGAGATTCTGAAAGGCGAAGTTCAGTCAATGCGCTGGATGTTTGAAAACAAGCCGCTGGACGCAATCAAAGACGATTCCCCAGACGAGGAGGAGGAGAGGAACATCGCCCAGCAGGAAATCATTGCCGGTAAAGATGTCAGGCACACCGCCTGGATGTTTGAGACTCAGCCCATGGATGCTTTGGGGACGGAGGCCGCCGTATCCACCGAGCAGACTCAGAAACAGACTGACCTGGCGAGGGGAGACGTCCGCACTGCCACCTGGCTTTTTGAAACCCAGCCCCTGGATTATCTGAATAAGATCTACCAAGAGGACGAGCTGGAGACGGACGGCGTGGTCGCTAGGGATATCGCCGGGGGAGACGTGAAAACGGCCAGGTACCTGTTTGAGACGCAGCATCTGGACTCCCTGGGCAAAATGGAAACCATCGAGGAGAGTCATTTCCTGAGCTTGAAGTCTGAGCTGGAGGAGATTAAAGGCGACGTGAAGACGACCACCCGGATGTTCGAGACGCAGCCCATGTGCGTCATCCGCGGGGATTCGGGAGAGATGCTGGAGATCACCACCATTCGCCGCGAGGAGACCGACAAAGGAGATGTAAAGACGTCCCGCTGGATGTTTGAAACCCAGCCTCTGGATATGATCAACAAAGACCCCACAAAAGTAAAGCTGATATGTGGCATTTCCATGGAAGACAATACTCAAGGTGGCGTGAACAAAGGTAGGTGGCTTTTTGAGACGAAGACACTCGACACCATTAAGGATGAGGAATGGGAGAGCACCAGGAAGCAAAAGGAAGAAATACTTGGAGCCGACGTAAGGAAACACTGTCTTGTTTTTGAGACTCAGCCCATGGATACGCTGAAGGACAACGCTAACGCTCGACCTTTGCCCTCTGAAGAGATTGTGGGAGGGGACGTTCGGTCTGCCAAAAATCTCTTTGAAACAGTGCCCATGGAAAATCTGAAGGAGCTGCTTGAGGTAGGAAAACTGACTAAAATGGTTGCATCTGAGGAAGAGAAGGGTGACGTGAGGCATCAAAAGTGGGTGTTTGAAAGCCAGCCGCTGGAGAATATAAGGGAGGAGAAGAAGGAGATCACAAGAACGGTGAACATCGAAGCCGGCGGCAAAGGAGACGTGACAAACTATAAAGAAAGGTTTGAAACTATGGATTTAAGCAAATGTGAGGGAACGCAGAGGATCCAAATCGAAGGGGTCACAAGTGGATCCGTCAAGTCCAACAGGGTACTTTTTGAATCCACCCCAATGTATGCTATGCAGGACAGCTCTGGACATTACCATGAGGTGAGAACTGTGAGGCGAGAGGAGGTTGTTAAGGGAGATGTGCGCAGCTGCAGGTGGATGTTTGAAACGCGCCCCATTGATGAGTTTGATGAGAGCATTAATAAATTCCAGCTTATCAAAGGGATTTCCAAACAGGAGATTGAGTCAGGGGATGTTAAAACTGCCAAGTGGTTGTTTGAAACCCAACCGCTCGACGGCATCAAGTATTTCAGTCATCTAGAGGATGAAGAGCACCAAGCAAAGGAAAGGATTGAAATTGAGAAAGGGGATGTGAAAACATGCAGATGGCTGTTTGAGACTCAGCCGATGGATGTTTTGTATGAAAAGGTGGAAAAGAGCGAGGCGGACATGGAGGAGGTGCAAAAGGGTGACGTGAAAACCTGTACCTGGCTTTTTGAGACCCAGACGCTGGACAACATACATGACCATTCAGAGTCAGAGACTGAGACCATCCTAAAAACCTGCACCGTACAGGAGGACGACATTCAAGGAAAAGATGTGCGACTTGCTCGCTTCCTCTTCGAAACAGAGAACCTGGAGAACATCACAGGGGATGAGAGCGGTTCTTTCAGGAGGGTCACAGAGATCGACATCCAGTCAGGCGACGTTTCCAGGATGAAGTACATCTTTGAGAATCGCTCCTCGGACATCATGAGCTCCACCTCGGAGGAAACGATGCTGAGGCTGAAGACGCAGCAGGCCGAGGACATCCAGAAGGGGAATGTTGTCAACTGCACCTGGAAGTTCGAGAACCAGCCGATCGATGCCATTAGCGAGGACAGCAAGGAAGCGAGGGAAGTCCGCACTGTGACTGACGTTCAGGGGGGCGATGTCGACAAGGGCAAATTCATTTTTGAGACATATTCTCTGGATCAAATAAAGGAGGAATCCACTGAGACGGATCTCTCAAAACTCACTAGTATCTTCAGACATGACACGGAAAAGGGAGACGTAAAAAACTACACCATGATGTTTGAAACGCAGCCTCTGTATGCCATCTGTGATAAGGAGGGCCATTATCATGAAGTCACCACAGTTACCAAAGAAGAAGTCATGAGGGGAGACGTGGTGGGGGCCCGGTGGCTGTTTGAGACAAAGCCCTTGGATTTAATTAGAGATTCAGAGGAGGTCTATGTTATTAAAGCTGTCACTGAGGAAGATGTTAACAAAGGCGACGTCAGCTCTGCCAGGTGGAGGTTTGAAACACAGCCCCTGGACGAAATTGCAGAGGATATAAAAATAAGGTCGAAGACAGTCGCTGACATCCAAGGCGGTGACGTGAAGACAAACAAGCAGAGGTTTGAGACGGATGAAATGAGCCAAAAGTACATCAGAACTGTGAGCGTGAGCGAAATCCAAAAAGGCGACGTCAGATCTGCCACGTGGATGTTTGAAACCCGCACGATCGATGAGATCCGCGGCGATGGCGGAGAGTACGATGGCATGGAGCGAGTAACAAAGGAGGAAGTCATGAAAGGGGATGTCAAACAGTCCGTGTGGCTCTTTGAGAAGCACTCCCTGGACAGTATTAAGGAGGAGGATGGCACCGAGGCTGTTGTGACAAAAGAGGAAATCCCACAGGCCGATGTCAAGACAACAACTTGGCTATTTGAAACCACTCCGTTTAATGAATTCAATGACAGCAGCGTGGAAAAGACTGAGATAATTGGTAAAAGCATCAAAGAGACACTTGAGGAACTTTACACTCAGAAAATGGTGGACTCGCAGGGTATCCTCATCGAAACAGATGAAATTGGTGATGTGCGGATGGCCAAGTATAAACTAATGAACCAGGATGCCCCGCAGATCCAGAAAGAGGAGGTCATTAGAGGGGATCTGAGCAACATAATGATGAACCTCCTGAACCGCAGAGAGACCACTGAAAGGGGCATCACTATTGACACGGAGGAGCGGGGGAACATCAACACTACGGTGAAGCAGCTTTTCAACCAGGAGAGAGGAGCCAATGTCGAGAAAGAGGAAATTATCCGTGGAGACATTCAGGAGGCGATGAGCAACCTGCTAAAGAAAGAAGGTTCCTCTAAGCATGGCATTCTAATTCAAGAAGATGAGAAGGGAGATGTGAGGATGACTATCTACTCCCTCTTAAATAAGGGGGAGAGATCCAGCTTGGAAAAAGAGGAAATAGTTCAAGGAAATGTCAGTAAAACTCTCCAGCGTCTTCTCTCCAACTCAGGAGAGGAGGACTCTAAAAAGATAAAGATCGGAGACACCGAGAGGGGCAACGTCAGCTTTTACTCCACGTGCATCGAGTCCGGAGCCTTGGATTACCTGAAGCAGCTTCAGTCCGAATCTGATGAGTATCAGGAGGAGGTGCAAAAGGAGCGCATCATAGGTGGCGACATTGAGGAGACCAAATTTTTGCTGCGGAGGAATCAGCAGCAGATTGGCCGCACGGTGGCAGAGGACGACATAGTTCCTGGTGATGTGCACAGCATTGTGAAAGTGTTTATGACAGAGCCCACCGTTACCTTCAAAAACCTGGAGAAAAAGGATATCGTCAAGGGGGATCTTAGCGCGGCCCTGGATTCACTGACACAAGCCGTCAATCAGAAAGTGGTAATTGAAAAAGAAGAGGTGGTGAAGGGAGACATACCCACTACACTGAAGTCTCTTGAGGAGGCCCAGCATCAAGCCAAAGGAATGGAAAAGCCTGACATCATCAGGGGAGACATCAGGGGGGCTCTTGAGTCACTGGAGAAATCTGCGTCTTCAAAAGCAGAAACCACTGTTGAAGATCTAGTGCCAGGTGATATCAAAGGGACCCTGAGAAGTCTGGAGGAGGCAAAGCAAGCTATAAAAGAGGTAGAAAAAGAGGAAATTGTGAGAGGAGATATTCACACTGCCTTGCACAGTTTGCACGAGGCATCGAGTGAGAAAAAGATTTACCAGCACCAAGTGAGCGAACAGGGTGATGTTAGAGGCACCATTCAGCTGCTGCTTGAGCCAACAACCTCTCCGAGAATGCAGCGCAGAGGAAGCATTGAAGGAGACGTTAAAACATCCATAAAATCGCTATATGAAGGGCAGGATGAAATCCAAGTGGAAAAAGAAGAAGTGGTTAAGGGTGACGTTCAGGGGGCAATAAAGAGCCTCATGCAAAAAAAGCAGTATTCAAACAAGAAACGTACACACGTTCACAAGAAAGCCAAAGTGCCCATGAAAAATCCAGCAGCTGTAAAGCAAGCGGAGCATGAATGCTCGCACGAGGCTAAGAGCGAGAGCGTGTCGCTGGCTCCAGCCCCCACTGTGAAAAACCTCTCTCTGAGCACTGAGTCACAGCAGCACACACAGAGGCACCATGAAAGCAAATCGCTGAAAACACAGGTAATAACCCAAGAGGACCACTCTGTTGCTGTAGTCAAAACAGACAATCCTGCTGGGGCCTCTCATCAGAAGAGCATAACGGAACAGAAAGACAAAGTGCCGCCCCCACAGAAAACGCAAGCTCCAAAGCCTGTTGTGATGAAGAAGAAACAAAAGGCTATTAATGATCAGACGGAGACCAAAGCAGTTGAGGTGAACGTGATGAAAGAGGCGCACAACGCATCCCAGACACTTGTTTCCAGCCAGCAAACCTGCCAGACAAAGACCATCAAACAGGTGCAGACCACGCTGACGGAGAAAACGGTGGTGCGAAAGCAGAACGTGGCCGTGTCCGAGCAAACGACCTCGTCGCAAAAGCAAACGGAGAGCAGAGCCGCCGCACAAAAGCAGAGCAGCATCAACCCGAGGAGCGACCACCGCAGTCTGGAGGTGAAAGGCGGGAAAGGAGCCATCAAAAAGGTGAAGCCCGAGATTCACTTCCCCCCTCCTCCCACCTCGCCACCCCCGCCCTCTGAGTCCGAGCTCTCCCTCCCTCCCCCGCCGTCCCCCGTGATGGAGGGCCCAGCATCACCCACATCCCGGCCTTCTATCATGAGGCAGGACAGCGACCTGCCGCCCCCACCTCCACCGCCTCCCATGGAATGCTTAAAGTCTGAGCATGATTTCTTTCCACCTCCACCGCCTCCTCCACCTCCGTCCTCCGTCGGGGGACAAGACTTTCTCCCCCCGCCTCCATCGCAGCAGGAGCTTAACGCAATGCCTCAGCCTCCACCTGTTAAGGTGGGGAAGCCTTTCGGCAAGCCTTTATTCAAAGTGCCCAAGCAGCCGGAACCACAGAAGCAGCCCGTCCAAGTCAAACCCAAATGGCAGAAAAAGCAACCAGCTCCTCCACCGCCTCCACCCCCACCTCTGTCGCCGCCTCAGCGCCCTCCTGGTCTGGACACGTCAGTTCAAAAAGAGGAAGCTAAGGCCCAGGAGGTGAAATGGGAGCGAGTCCATCAGGCTGAGACGAGCAGCCAGCCGACGGCAGCGGCGCCAGCGAGGACGCCGGCCGCCCCCGCCCTACAACCAGAGCCCAGCCCGCAGCCGCCCAAGAAAGTGTTCGTCCCTCCCATCAAACTGCCTCCGCCCCCAGATCCCGCTCCACCTCCGAAGCCGAGGCCCTACGCTCGCAAGTTCAAAACCCCTCTCATGCTGGCAGAGGAACGCTACCGACTGCAGAAGCTAGAGGAAGAGGAGAAGAGTATAGCCTCCACTCCCACCTCACCACCGGCCAATGTCCAGTTCTCTGCCGCCACTGAGGAGGCTTCTGCAGCAGGGAAAGCTGAGGGAGAGGGGGCCGTCCAAGCCACGACTGCAAAGAGTGAAGAGGGAGCGACGGTGCGAGACTCACCTGCAGCAAAAGCCCCCTCCCAGATCCCTCTGAGCAAACCCTCAATCCCAGTCATAAACAAAAGGGCAACCCCTGGTCCGTTGAGCATTAAAAAGAAGGCTCCCGTGCAACCTTCTGAAAAAACCCTTCCCCCAACCGATGCTAGTCAAACTGCTTCTGTTTCTCAGTCTCACCACGAGGCCTCTGATAGGGACATCCGTTCCAGCTCAAACACGGTCGTATCCTCAGTCACCGAGCAGGAGCAGCTTATTAAGAAATCCAGTTCCAGGACTACGGCTGCCACACAGAGCTCAGTGCGGGAAACCGTGGTGCTCCAGACCCAAGCTGCACGCACATCCACAGCTGAAGATGTAAAGAGTGTGACGCTGGAGGGGAAAACGAGTTCCTCCCAGCCCACCAAAATACCCAAGGTGACACCAAGTTTCAAAGTGAAAACATTCAAAATGCCCACAGAGAAGAAACCGGAGACGTGTGACAGCCCGGGGCCAAAGGAAACGGTGAGAAGTGAAACCCGGTCGCAGCAAGAGGAAAAGAACGTGTCACAAACGATTGAATCAAAGGTGAGTTTGGACAGCAACCGGTTGACCTCAGCGACGACCGAAATGAAAGCGGGAGTGGTGGAGAAGGAAAAGAAAAAGCAGGTGCCGCTCATGAAGGAGGCTGCGGGAAGTGAAAGTCCCTTTAAAAAAGGAAAGCAGGGACTGAGAGGCGACGCTGAAATAAACCCGCCGCCCTCGGTTGCCGTTTTGGGGCCGAAGGCGGCCGCGATAACATCTGCAGCGGCGCAGCACGGACAGAAGATCCTGTCTGTGTCCCACAGTCGGCAGAGCGTGAAGGCAGAGCACGTTGAAAGACACGAGGAGGTGGTCGTGACGGAGAGCCTGGTGCAGCAGAGGCACCAGACCGCTCAGGTGCAGAAAACGCAGCAGCAAACGCAGCAGCAAACGCTCCAGAAGCAGGTGCCGGCCGGCAAAATCCAGAACAAGGCCGGCCAGCCGCCGGCCCAACAGAAGGACGCTGGCAAAGCCGCCCAGAAAGAGAAGGCCCAGCCCGGAGAGGTGGCCCATCCCGAGAAATGCAGCGTGATGCGGAAGCTAATCGCTCAGATAAGGGAGCTGGAGGGCACGCCGAAGCAGATTCGACTCCGACAGCGTCAGGATGGTTCTGGGCGAAGCCCCCGATTGGACGCTGGGCTCGGACGAGAAAAGGAACCTCGGCGAAATCGCCAAACAGCAAAGCAAGAAGAAGCTGAAGGAGCTGATGGCTTATGTGAGAAGCACCATCCAAGCCAAGCTCAC